TTGGATGAAGAAGTGCTTTGAGACATTTTTGAACAAGAAGGTTTCTCCTTCCTCTCACAAAACTCTACAGAACTTCAGAAATATTACAATTATTTTGAACACATTCCTGTGTGAACTTCTTTCTTTTCTCCCAAAATAATATTAGAAAAACTTCTTCCAAAAATTGCCACTAAATGGCTCCTTGATCTTTTAAGGTTCTTGCGAGACAGATGGGATCAACTAGGAGAGGAAGAAACACTTTCCTTCGAAAATTCCTTTAGAGTATTAGTCGGTAGTGAGAAAATTAGTGTTTGTGTATTTTTTTCATTAATGTGCAAAGCCTGATTTATCAATGGAAGTTAAGGCCTATTGATTATAATGACAATGTTTTTACCATGTGGATATGACATTCGATGTATTTCATTAATCTGCCATGTGATCAGGAGGTCACGGGTTCAAGCCGTGGAAACAGCCTCTTGCAGAAATGCAGGGTAAGGCTGCGTACAATAGACCTTTGTGGTCCGGTCTTTTCACGGATCCTGCGCATAGTGGGAGCTTAGTGCACCGGGCTGCACTTTTAAACGATTGAGATTCAACAACAACAAAATATCCAGTATTACCCCACACTGTTGGGTCTGGGGAGGGTAGTGTGTACGCAGACCTTACCTTGTGAGGACAGAGAGGATGTTTCCAAAGACCCTCGGTTCAGGAAAGCATAAGCACCACATTAATGAAAATACAGACAAGAAGGGACATCACCAAAAAACTATATAAAAGCAGAATAAAAATAACAAGATAGGAAGGTGATCAACAATGAAAGAAAACAGCGGTTAGTCATAAAAACCTACTATCAACAGAAAGCAAGATTGCGTACCAATACTACTGTTATGAACGTTCTACCTACTTTACTACCCTAATCCTCGACCTTCATACCTTCCTATCAAGGTTCATGTCCTCGGTCACCTGAAGCTGCGCCATATCTTGCCTAATCACCTCTCCCCAACTCTTCTTTGGCCTACCTCTACCTCTTCGTAGGCCCTCCAATGTCAACCTCTCACACCTCCTCACCGGGGCGTCTGTGCTCCTCCTCCTCACATGACCAAACCACCTAAGCCGCACTTAGCACATCTTGTCCTCAATAGTGGCCACACCCACCTTGTCGCGAATAACCTAATTTCCAACCTTATCTAACCTGGTGTGCCCGCATATCCATCTCAACATCCTCATCTTTGCTACCTTCATCTTGTGGACATGAGCGATCTTGATTGGCCAACACTCAGCCCCGTACAACATTGTCGGTATGATGATTCAAATGATGTATTTTCAAGTGTAATTTTTAGGACCCAAAACGAGGTCTTCAATTTGAATATTCGTTTCAGTTAAATTTCATTTTCATCTTTCATAAAACATCCTCTCTACCTGCTCAAGCTAGGGGTAAAATGTGCGTACACTGGGTTTTTTGTTGTGTTGTTGCTCTTTCAGTTAAATTGTCCAAAGCATTAACATGCTATGGTAATGTTGTGAAATTATGGTGTATTTGGCTATAGTAACTATAGCATCTTTTTACTTGATGACATTTTCTGTTATTAGGTTTCCAACCTTGCTTCAGAGGCAAAAAAGGAAAGGAATGTTCTCACCAAGGAAGTTACGAAGATAAGCAATTATGGCATATCCGTCTGACTAAACTGCACTGTTTTTTTTATATGATCTAATACATGCTGGACGTGAGGTGCCAGATACTATTTGGGGAGCTTTCTAGTTTGGTTATATCAACTCTAAACTTTGCTGCAGCTTAGAGGAGTAATTTGGCATTCACTAATTCTGTGGGGGTGTTCATCGGTTGGTTTGCTATGGTTTTGAAAGATTTTGGTTTCGGTATTTTCGTTTTTAGAATGCTATACTACCATACCATACTGAATAAATTCAGTATATGTTTCGGTTTCTCACTTTTTGGTTTCAGTTTCTGCGGTTTGGTAAGTTCAATATTACTCTTTAAAGTTAGATTCTATCAAGCAAACTTGTAATTGTGTTTTCTGAAACTGATTTTAGGTATTGTTAAAGACCCGTCTATGTGATACCAACTAGTAGTAGGGATTATTTTTGGTGCCTAGGTACTGTTGAAGGCAAGATTTAGAAAATCTCTTATTTGTCCTTAAAGTCAAATTGTTTAGTTGCTGAATGAAATGGACTTGATTAGAACAAAAAGGAATTAAAAGAATAATATAAATTGTTGCAATTTATTTGAGAAGGGTCATCTATTAATTAACTGCGGTTGAACTTGTGAATGAAATATAATTGTAAGGTTAAAGACGGAGCATATTTGATGGGATTAAAATCCTGCACCAAAGTAATGCAAAATGAGCACAAAATGAAAAGAACATTTTAGATTTAATTTAAAGCTAAAAAAAGGACTGTAAATGTCACTTTGTTCCTTTCCCTTATTGGGAGCCAAGGTATCTGCAGTAGCAGAAGATAAAAAGGGCAACTCTGTAGTGAGGACTATGAGAAGAGCACACATTAAAATATTCAGGGGTCGTTTGGTAGGTTGCATAACAATAGGGTGTATTAGTAATTCTGCTATTTGTTATGCTTGCATTAGTTATGTTGACATATTTCTTATTTATTGTTTGATTTGATGTATTAAAACATTGCACAATTTCTAAAAAAATTACTTGTTTACAAATATGCCCTCAAAACCAGTCCATCACTCTAACTTTTTAAAAGAAACATATGTTGAGAAATGTTTTTATATGAAAAAGTATAAAAAAAAAATTATTTGATTTGTCTACCTATATTGTAATATAGAATTAAATATTTATCTTTAAAAAAGGAAATATGTTAAGTATTTATATATTTATTTACTAGAGATATAATTTTATTTCTCACTATTTGGATTATTTTGAACTTGCATTAATATTACTAGCGTATTTTAATCATTTTGAAGGACATTTCTTTAACTAAGCTAATGCATGCATTAAAACCCATTGCATTGCTAATACCATGGTTTTCTATGCATTAGTTATACATAAGAATAGGATATACCAAATAGGATGTATAATTAATGCTTGCATAACTAATGCATATGTTCAAAATGTCTACCAAACAAGGTATTATTAATACACAAAGCTAATGCCTACATTATTTTATCTATTACATCCTACCAAACGACCCCTCATAGTATATCAAGTCTCGCTCACCTATCCAGGCACGTGCAAATAGGAATGGCAGGCGGGGCGGGGCCCGGCGGGTGCGGGCCGGGTTCTGTCTGAACCCGCAAAATTTAAACCTGTCCCGCACCGCACCGCATAGAATTTAAACCAGCATTCACCCGCCCCGCACTCCACCCGCGTTCACCCGCCCCGCCCCCGCACCCGCAATTTTTTTTTTATTTATAAAAATTCTTTCTTTTTTAGAAAGCTAGACTTAAATCTGATTTTTTTAACAAAACAATTAATTACATCCAAAATGTTCTTAAATTCCCATATTTTGCCTCTAAATCTAGTGATTTTGCCTTTAATTTGATTTAAAAAATAGCACCATTAAAAATAATAAAGTTACTAAAATGCATTTTTGTAAATGCATAATTTTATGAACGAAAATTTTTATTACATGAACTACATTTAATTCAAATAGAAGAAAAGACTTTATAAAGATCTCTCTATTAGTTTAAAATATTAAATCCCCACCCGACACCCGCCCCGCATTTTTTTTAAAATTAAAATTGAACCCGCCCCGCCCCGCCCCGCAACCGCAAAATCTCAAACCCGCCCCGCCCCGCTAACATTCAAACCCGTCCCGCCCCGCACCCGCACCACCCCATTGTCATCCCTACGTGCAAAGCCAACTTCCTTCTTGCATCACTCGCCTAGTAAATGTGATCATCAACAACTAACTAACAACAAGCCTAGTAATTTTTTACAAGTGGAATCTGCGGAGGGTAAGATGTATGCAGCCTTACCCTTACCCTAGAAGGAAAGAGAGGTTGTTTATGATCGACCCTCAGCTTGAGAACAGATGAAAAAAGTAATAACAACAAGTATGAATAACAACAAGATAAAAAGACCGAACCCATGAAAGCAGTTAAACTCTAGGTAGTAATAGCAGTCTATGAATAAAATGATATCATACTAACACTAATACTAGCGAAATGGGTATGGGCAAGACAAAGAGATACGCTCGTGTACCTAGTAGCCTTCAACCCTAATCCTCAACCTCCACACTCTCTTATCTAGGGCCATGTCCTCAGTCAGCTCCAGCTGCGCCATGTCCCGCCTAATAACCTCTCCTCCACAGGGGCCACTCCCACCTTATCCCATAACTTCATTCCTAATCTTATCCAACCCGGTATGTCCACACATATTCCACCTTAACGTAACATCCTCATCTCAGCTACTTTTATCTTCTGGATGTGAGAGTTTTTGACAGACCAATACTCTATTCCATATAACATAGTCGGTCTAACTACAAAAAAAGTCTCATGAATGTGATCATACTGCCTATATTCAAATCCAATTATGTATACTAGTTTTTTCAATAATTTTTTTGGTCTCGCTGGCTCGATAATTCAGATTCACCTTGTGAGTCCATTAATGAATAAGCACTTCTTACGATACAACTAATCTAGATCTCTTTATTTCCAATGCTTGAATCCCAAAACATGCTGGGTGAAAAATTCTCACCTATTTTGCTACATCTAATGGTAATTATATATATTTCATATGTAGTTAATGAATATTAAAAGTAACTCTATTTGTATATTTATATTGACTAAATTTGTACTCAGTTTATTAGTACAGCGATGCATTGAATCTGCTGCTAACTTAAAAAATTTTAAGTTTGATTATGCTCAGTCTCCACGTGATTACTGTTAAATCCAACATGACGTAAATGTAAAATATGTCAAGGCCTATCCAGTCACGTGCAACGCACACCTCCCAACCCATCACACTCCCCACCATAATTCTTTCTCTCTCCACCCCATTTGGTAGTTGCATACTTCAATGCAAAATTGCGACCTCAAATTCCAAAAAAAGATTATTCTGAACTATTTTCTTAAGAAAATCCCGAGGAATAAAACTAAACAAATAAAAAAAAGGAACGTTCCAGATTGTAAAATTAGCATGATGATAAAACCAAAAAAAAAAGGGAGTCCACGGTCAGCTAGGTGGTGGAGACACGTGTCTTCTTCTCTTCGGATGACGTTAGCAGACTCGAAAGTGATGTCCGTACATTCCCTCCTCCGTCGGCGGCGGCGGCTGTTGATGGATCATTTCCTTCTGTCTCCGGAGCTCCATAACTTTTCGGTGAGAATTCGAATGCTGTGTTAACACAAAAGTTGGGCTCGCCGCGGGCCGATACTCCGGTACAAGCCGGCCCGATTTGAACCTAACTCCACAAGCATTGCAGAGCGTTTTTGGGCCTAGAGGTCCAGTTCTCCACTGCGGCGTCTTCTCGGAAGCGCAGTGCATGCATCTCCGTGGCACATCATCGTCCATTGAAGATGACCTTTCTCTGGTATGTACTGAAATCTCCTTATTCTTCATAGTAGTAGTAGTAGTGTTAGGGTTTTGGAGTGAAGATGTCCAGCTTGATGTAGAACGAGAACGTTTGCTTCTTGACCTGCCGTGAAACGAGGACGTAGTATTGGAACTGAGATTCATCGTTCCGGTGACGGAGTTAGTCGGAAAACTACTGAACGAGTCTTCTACGAAGTTCGATAGCCATTCCAACTCAGCAACATCATCACTCTGCAATAAAAATGTAGTAAAATTGGTAAAACCAGTAATTTCTTAATAATTATTGTAAACTAGTCCTTGTTGAAGGCATAATTAAGTAAATAAAAGTACTATCATTATTTATCTAACAGTTCAAAAGGTTTTAGAAGAGAGAATCCTAGCACGTTAACGAATTAATTAGTACTCGTAAATAGAAGCTATTCTACTTAACACTTTAAATTGCTGAATTCAATAAAGTATAAAAACACACTTTTATTAACTTTATTTTAAGTGTTTAACGAGTTGAAAATTCTTACGGGGACGCAGAGGTTGTCGGTGAAGTCATCGGAGCAATTAGGAAGAAGAGCATCGTAGTAATTGGCGGTGGCAGCGGAGGAGTTGTCGGAGTGAGGTTGATGGTGGTGGTGGTGGTGGTGTTGAGAGTCGGGGGTGGCGGTGGTAGAGGAGGAATTGCTATTAATGGAGAAAATTTCGTCATTAGAGAAATCGAGAAGATCATCAATACGAAACAAGTCCGGTGCTGAAACTCCGTAGACATCCATTTTTTTTCTTTTTCTTCTGGATATTGTTTATTGTAGAGCTTAGATAACGAGAAAATTACAGGCGAAATAGTGTGTAGAGAAACTGGGAATAAGTAAGTTTCACTCTCAGACTCTGCACTTTCTCTCTCTAATAAGGTAGTATGGTTTAGAGAGAGAGAGAGGGCGAGAGTGAGAGAGGAGAGGGGAAGTGAGGGGCTGGAAAGTAGTGAGGATGATAATAATAGATATAAGGAGTACAGTGCAAGTGAAGGTAGGGAAGAGAGGAGACAAACCAACGTGAGTAGAGAAAATCACGACTTTTGCTCGTGTTATTATGTCTATACCTTCAACTTTACTTGATCTAATCATAATTAGAAGTACGTGCCATAATCAGATGTTAACGTTTCAAGCCAGAAATTTCATAAAATATAAAGAATTAAAGAGAATCAACATATAGTATATGTGGCTTCCCCGCTGGTTTCGAAGATGGAAAAATCTCTAGTAGAGAACGTTATCTTTTTAACGGACTGTATTTTAATACAAATTTAAAGTAGTCTGATCATTATATATATAAAAATAACTTGATCTAATTAATATCAAGAAAAATATTACTAGTAGTTAGAAATTTTAACTAAGTTAACTTAAGGGAGTGATTCGCAAATTTGAGAGATAGAGTTGCATTCATCGTCGTCAAACTTAGATCCCGTTTGGATTAGCTTTAAAAAAAAAAGAAATTTTCATAAAGCATTATCTTTTAGTAGTAATTAGTCATCTATAGATACCATTTGCTATATTACGGATTATAGATACCTTTTCTGTGGTTATAAGATGTATTTGATGTATTTAAGCTATTGTATTCATGAATACAGTAGCAAAAATAGGCGTGAATCAGGGAAGTCCAGCTAATCAGTTGTTATATTCGAGTGTATTCGTCTGTATTCATGGAGTGAAACATGGGATTACAGCTGGACAGATTATTGTACTCTTATTATATTCGACTGTATTCGACTGTATTCACGACATGAAATAGGGGATTACACTGTTTTTAATACGGAAAGTGAATCAATTAACATAATAGACTCCTAATATAACTCAACAAACTCAATTATAACATACAAATTTTGTATTTTCAGTTATAAAAAAGATTCTCAACCGAAAAATACCCCAAAAACATAGCAATCTTCAGAGAAATTATATAATACATCTGAATACATAAATTATATTAATTAAAAAAAACATATGAATACATTCATGGCATATAGCGAGACATTGAGTACAATGAAATACATAGAATACTGCGGGATATATTGAAATACAATGAAAAAAAGACAGTGAATACAATGAAATACATGGAATATAACGAGATACATTGAATTACAATGAAAAAAAAGACAATGAATACAATGAAATACATGAAAATATATTGAAATATATAAACAGAAAATAAGTTGCTCAGCCCCAAACTCCGTCGTCTTTGTTCAAGAACAAACCCTAATTTTCGGCGAATCCGCCGTAGCAACGTTTGAAGATACAACACGCGACACATTTGAGATTTGAAGGTACAACACGCGTCTTCTTATTTTCACTACCCGCTTTTAGTGATTTGGTTAGGGATTTGATTTGGTTTTAGTGACCTTATATTAACAGAGAAATCTCATTTCTTGTTCTCCTAAAATAACTCATAGCTACCAAATCCACCATCATTGTCCCAATTGCCGCAACCATTGCTATAAAACCTGCAAAAGGGAAATCACCCCACGGTTTTTCAGGAAGGCAAGGGCTAGACAAGCTCTCGAATGCATCGGGCAACATGTGAACGAAACCCGTGGCGAGAATTGATGACAGAGAAATTGCAATTCAAATATTCGATGCAAGAATTGATCGGAATGAAAAGAAAATAGTGTGGGTGAGAGGAATTTTAAGATTGAGCATCGTGTTTTCAGAGAATGGGGGAAGAGAATGGGATGTATCAAAGTAGAGAGAGAAAGAAAATAGTGTAACTGAATAGCGTATTTGGTGGCTTAGGGCTAGGAGGTAACCAAAATTAAATATTTTGCTATAAACCTTAAAAGGTATCTATAGAATATAATTTTTTTAAATGGTATTTATTTAAAATAAATAATGTGTTAACCTTTGCTATAAGAGGTAAAAATGGCTTTTCAGCAGAAATAACTTTTAATTCAAAAAGTAATAAATTTGGGCTTTTTTCACTTTTGCGCCAGAAACTATTTACATTTGGTAGCCAAAAAAATATATAGAATTTGTATAATTTTTGCATATAACATACATAATGTATATATATACAAAAAATATATATTTTTTGGCTATTATTTTAAGAGCAGCTATACAATGTCATTTTCCTCTAACATGGGATTGCCCGGCTTATTGCTTTTGGCTTGTTTTAAGCAACTTTTAATTTATTAAGCACTTTTTGACTTTGCCAACCACTAAAAAAAGCTAAAAAAAACTTAAAAACTGATTTGACCGGCGCTTAAATTAAAAGTCATTCCAAACAACCTCTTAGTTATAGTTGTACCATGTTTTAGGAGGAGTATCTTCATAAATTGAGATGAGAAATATTTATTTATTTATTTATTTATTTATTTTCCCTTGATATGATCATGAATCATTGAAATGAGTTTTTAGAGAATCTAAATTGTTGTAATATATTTGTGATTTGTTTTTTACGTATACATGCATGATGCTATTATATTCTAGTGGAGTATAGAAGTATTTTGTGTTGCATAACTTCATTGCTTTGATATGACCTGTCATGTTTATAAGTTTTTTCAGTGTCCTCGTTTTGGTTTGAAGTCCCTTTCATGTTTTCTTAAGAATAACTTATTCTCTTCGATCAAGTTAGGAGCTTATTCATCTTGTGTTATTAATCAATTCACAACGAAAATAACATATACAAAATTGTTGCAGTCCAGGAAAAAAGCTCCAATATAGTATTAAAATCAATATGATTATAGCTTCCCGAAGCTAAAAAAATATACTTTTTATGATGAACGGTTTAACACAGGGTCTACCAGGGTTTTGTCTAACTATATAAACGAAGATATATAATTGTTGATTTGAGTTCTTTTTAATGAAAATGTTTTAGTCAAGAAATTCCCGATTATAGCAGCCTTTAAATTTTTCATCAAAACAATAGAGTCGTTAATGTATATAACTTTTAATGAAATTCTTCCATAATCATTGATCAGCCATATTGGAGTTGTAAAACCTTTGGCTTATAGATTTACATGGATTTTACGTAGCAAACTCTAAAGGAAATTTCTTAATCACTAAATGAAAGAAATTTCTTAATCGATCACTACATAACGTAAATTCAAGACCGTATGACTTAGAAATTATGGAGAAATTTCCTTCTAACGTGAAGTCGCTTAATGAAGAGGTGAATAAATTATTCTTGGCAAAAGATTTACAACTAAAACCAAGGAATATTAGTCAAAAACCCATTTTAAGAGAAAAAATCTTGTCAATATAGCTATGTAGGAATAAAATCGTTATTGTGTCATCCTCGTGCCATGATAAAATCTACTCATTCATATAAAATGCAATTGCTAAATTTCTATTGGCAAATGCTTTTTACTACTAATAATAGCACCCACACTCTTTGTCTTTAGGAAATATGATTGCTAATAGTACATGGTTTGTACTCTAGTAATAATAGCACAATTTGTCCTAAATTAAATGCTCCTATGATTTTGAATATAATATTAGCTAGCGTTTGACCATAGATCCCAACTTTATTAAATCTGATTTGGGTGAAGTTTGGTTTGAAGATGAAAATATGTTTGGACATGCGTTTTCAAAACATATTTCCCAACTTTATTTTGGAAAAACATATATATAATTCCCAAGTTTTGGGATTTTGTCCCAAAATCAGCAATTGGGGTGATTTTGGGATTTGGGGTTTGGGATTTGGAATTTTGCCAAAATGTGGGCAAAATTTATGGCCAAACATGAGTTTTGAAAATAAATCCCAAATTTATTTTGGCAAAACTCATGGCCAAGCGGGTCCTTAATTTCTGAATTCAAACTTTAAAAGCTATATACATTGACCTTCGATTTTACCACACCCCGTAATTCTCCTTGTTCTGCTGATGTGAGGATTATCACATCATGGACTTAAAATTCTTGCCAAACGTGAGAAGCTCTAGATGCAAACAGTTATGAGGATAAAAAATAGCCCTGTTCATCATCAGGTGTTTACACAGGGTTCGAGAAAGGAACGAACCTTAAAGAATGTGATGTATAACAGAACGGTTAGTGGCTGTTTCCACGGGCGAATCAGAGACCTATAGATCACACAGAGACAATTTTATTGTTGTTACTGAAATAACCCTTAGATCACATATTTAATGCTAAAGTTTTTATTTTATTTTTTATTCTAACTAGTTCACATCTTTTCCAGAAAGGAAATTGTAAATATAATCAACGGTTTAAAATTGGCGGATCCAACCATTAAAAATCCAATGCTTCGAGGTCAATATTTTATGCGAAAAACAAGTATAAATAAGTAAGACATATATTTTAGAACTTAATTTCTTAAAATGAACTCACAGCGTCTCAATTTTGGATTTGGTGATTTGAGTCCGTTTGGACATAATTTTTTTTCCTTTTTTCCAAAAAAATTTCACTTTTTTTCCAAATCAACATTTGTTCATAAAACTTTCAATTTTCACTTGAAGATGGATTTTGGAAATTTTCGAAAATTTGAAAAACTCCAAAAAGCTGTTTTCAACATTTTCACTCAAATCACACACAAAATTCAAAAACAACCCAAACTGAAATTTATGTTCAAACACATCTCTAAATTTCAAATACCATTTTCACTTGAAATTTTTTTCACCATTTTTTGAAATTTTATAATTCTTATGTTCAAACGCCTACTTAATTTTGGGTGAAAAAAAACTCGTAAGTAGCTAGAGGTGCACGGTGGACCTAATTAAACGATCATGCAATTAGAGGGCTCAATCCCAAAATAAAGATACTCCAATATGTATCCAATATATGAGTGCATGGTTGCTTTCATGTGCTAAAGATGGTGGTCCTTCGCGAGGGTGACCACTGCACTTTCCCGGCATACGGACAACTTAACTTTAACAACTTAGCTTTTCTTTCTATTGCACAATCTTCTTATTTTCGCTATTTATTACTATTTCTTCAACTCTCATCCACAATCTTTTAAGTCCGAAACCTAATTGTGGTATTTTTAGACTCAAACGACATAAAT